CATTTAGCTGTCACTTGAGTATTCCCCTAGTGGCATATGCATTATAAAGAGTTGTAGCAAGCCAAAGTAAGCTGTTGGTTATAGAATTTTTTGTGGCAACAGTTGTAGTAGTAGCCACACATATTAACATATTTTTAATAGCAGGTTATGCTGCCAATTTCATTACCATTATATTTTTGTTGTTTTTAGGACTTCCTGTTAATACTAACATCTAGAGATTTATTAGGGGAGATTTCTGAAATAAATTTTGACAAATTATTTCATTCTGAGGACTAGTCTATAGTCTAGTCTATATCTAGTCTAGTCTAGTCTAGTCTAGTCTATAGTCTAGTCTATAGTCTAGTCTATAGTCTAGTCCTATAGTCTAGTCTATAGTCTAGTCTTTAGTCTAGTCTATAGTCTAGTCTATAGTCTAGTCTATAGTCTAGTCTATAGTCTAGTCTATAGTCTAGTCTATAGTCTAGTCTATAGTCTAGTCTATAGTCTAGTCTATAGTCTAGTCTATAGTCTAGTCTATAGTCTAGTCTATAGTCTAGTCTATAGTCTAGTCTATAGTCTAGTCTATAGTCTAGTCTATAGTCTAGTCTATAGTCTAGTCTATAGTCTAGTCTATAGTCTAGTCTATAGTCTAGTCTATAGTCTAGTCTATAGTCTAGTCTATAGTCTAGTCTATAGTCTAGTCTATAGTCTAGTCTATAGTCTAGTCTATAGTCTAGTCTATAGTCTAGTCTATAGTCTAGTCTATAGTCTAGTCTATAGTCTAGTCTATAGTCTAGTCTATAGTCTAGTCTATAGTCTAGTCTATAGTCTAGTCTATAGTCTAGTCTATAGTCTAGTCTATAGTCTAGTCTATAGTCTAGTCTATAGTCTAGTCTATAGTCTAGTCTATAGTCTAGTCTATAGTCTAGTCTATAGTCTAGTCTATAGTCTAGTCTATAGTCTAGTCTATAGTCTAGTCTATAGTCTAGTCTATAGTCTAGTCTATAGTCTAGTCTATAGTCTAGTCTATAGTCTAGTCTATAGTCTAGTCTATAGTCTAGTCTATAGTCTAGTCTATAGTCTAGTCTATAGTCTAGTCTATAGTCTAGTCTATAGTCTAGTCTATAGTCTAGTCTATAGTCTAGTCTATAGTCTAGTCTATAGTCTAGTCTATAGTCTAGTCTATAGTCTAGTCTATAGTCTAGTCTATAGTCTAGTCTATAGTCTAGTCTATAGTCTAGTCTATAGTCCTGTCCATAATCTAGTCTATAGTCTAGTCTATAGTCTAGTCTAGTCTATTGTCTAGTCTATAGTCTATAGTATGGTCTTTAGTGTGGTTTATAGTCTATTCTTTTAGCTCAAAGTCTAATCTACAGTCTAGTCTATGGTCTAGTCTGTAGCCTAGTTTATATTATAGTCTATGTTCTAGTATAAAGTTTTGCCTGTAATTTAATCTTTAGTATTTCCCGAAGTCTAGCCTGTATTGTAGTTGGTCTATATTCTAGTTTATAATTAAGTTTGTGGTCTAGTTTATAGTCTAGTATATAGTCTATTCTATTTTAAGAGTAATATCAATCGATTTTACACAAAGTAAGCCGGACTCCTAGAAAAATACTCTTCCCTAACATTACATTCATACATTCATACCAAGTTACTGACAACCACAAATTGAACTATAGTAACAATTTGAAATATTAAAATCTTTGTTGTAGGCAGCTATGGAAAAAGTAAAATATTCTTACATTCTAAAAAACGAATACAAATAAAAACCATGTTGTTTGGAAACGTCTTTACTTAAACTCATTTTATTGCCAACAATTGTGGTATAATAAAAGAAAATTATGTGTTGTTTCTTTTACTTTTTTGTGTGATTTTTATTTTTATCAAGTTACATTTAAAGTTCTTTGGATTGTCTGACATTTTACATTGAAATATTTTAAAGAATAAAGAAATGTAAAAGGAAAAACTGAACAGAACTTAGTGCTCAAAAACTAGAACTTTCTTTTATATTTTTAGATTTTTTTTGTATAAAACTACCATAAGAACTAATGTACAACTAGGATGACACAAATCCAGCAGTATGTTTAACTTTTTGTTAAGTTTTACAATTTTTTTTCTTTAATTCTGCAACATTCATGTTGGTATTGCCAGCCATGCCAAACAAAATTTAAAAAAAGAAAAACCCAGCAGAATATAATCAGGTTGCAACAAACTTATATTTCAATCACTACTGGCAGCACCACCGCTTTTTGGGAGCATATGTTCTGCAGGCACACATACTAGTTTTGTGTATATTTTGTTAGTTGGTTTAAGAATGTAGGGATTTTCTTATATCGACTTCGGCCGGCACTACGGGTGGTCGTACTTCAATGCCGCGTACTGGTTGTCGGTCCAAATGATGTATTACTTTGTAAACTTCACTTCTATTCAAGTCAATTTTTTTCTCAGGTTTCTGATACTTCATGAAGTTGACTCTACATGTTTGTGTTTTTTTTCGTATTATTGGTTTGATTTAGTTCATTCGTTGGTTTTTGTATTTCATTTGTGGCAGCAGCAGCAGCAAAAAACAGAAATATTTCAAAAGAAAAAAATAGAGAAATGAAAAGATTTTTTTAGATAAAAAAGCTATAGGGGTAAAAAAATAATATTGCAAACAAAAAAAATATTGAATATGTTATAATAATCAAATGTTGATTTGTTGTAAAAGAAAATATAAATTTTATATTATGGGGATGCTTTTTTATGATTTCTAAAACAACAAAGCGGTTTGTTACAAAAACTGAGTTGTATGTGAAAAATAAATATGTAAAAATAATACGAAAAAAAAATACATAAAAAAGTATAATGAATTTTATTTCTAATACACAAAATATACAAGTTATTTCAAACAAAAAAGTCATTTCAAATAAAACTCATTTCAACCAAACCACACACATATGATGCAAGAAAAAATAAAATCGTATATAAACAACATGCTCCCCTTTTTTTGTCAAAATAACAAATAATGAAAGAGGTTGAAAAAAAAATTAAAATAAATTATAAGATGCTCAAACCTTTCATATTCCACTTGTTTTGTTACCGATTTTTTATGATATTCGCTATAAAACAAATTTATGAAATATTTATTAAAGAATGATAAATTGTATGAGATTTTAGTTACATCTAAATGCAGAAAATATATTTAATGTATTTTTTTTTAAAGATTTGATTAAAAATTCGATTTTTTAATTTAATTTCTTCAGATATCCTTTTATTATTACTTACTTATTCATTATGTATACCTCTGCTATATTAAAAGGGAAATTTTACCATTTAAAATATTGTGGCCTTTTTCTTTTTTAACTCTTTGAATATTTTTTTAAATATTCTATTTTTATAATCTCCTAGTTAGGGGATTTAATTGCTCTATACGCCATTTTGACAATTTTGAGTTAAGGAAGCCAACATACATAGTTTTGGTTCCAAAATTTTTCAAATCTGCAATCCGTTTTCGGCTATCTCATCTGGTTGCTGAGCTACATCGATATTTTTATTACCCTTTAAAATATCACCTTGTAGCTGAGATCGGGGTGTAAAAAATGTTCCTCAGAATCTTTATTTCAAAACAAATATATGGTAAAAAAAATTACAAAATTTTAAAGGGCAGTTTTTTTTAGAAAAATTATGTTAAACTTCAACATCGATTTACTCAGAATGCATTTTTGGCATATAGAGCTCTTAAATCCCCGGGCTACGAATTTAAGTCATATTTAAAAAAAAGTTCCAAATTCTGTGCATAAATTTTCTAGATACGTATAAAATCCAACTCATATATTTGATTATACATATTTTTGGATATGAATGTCTTGACTATAGACTAGACTATAGACTAGACTATAGACTAGACTATAAACTAGACTATAGACTAGACTATAGACTAGACTATAGACTAGACTAGAGACTAGACTATAGACTAGACTATAGACTAGACTATAGACTAGACTATAGACTAGACTAAAGACTAGACTATAGACTAGACTATAGACTAGACTATAGACTAGACTATACACTAGATTATAGACTAGACTATAGACTAGACTATAGACTAGACTATAGACTAGACTATAGACTAGGCTATAGACTAGACTATAGACTAGACTATAGACTAGACTATAGACTAGACTATAGACTAGACTATAGACTAGACTATAGACTAGACTATTGACTAGACTATAGACTAGACTATAGACTACACTATAGACTAGACAATAGACTAGACTATAGACTAGACTATAGACTAGACTAGACTATAGACTAGACTATAGACTAGACTATAGACTAGACTATAGACTAGACTATAGACTAGACTATAGACTAGACTATAGACTAGACTATAGACTAGACTATAGACTAGACTATAGACTAGACTATAGACTAGACTATAGACTAGACTATAGACTAGACTATAGACTAGACTATAGACTAGACTATAGACTAGACTATAGACTAGACTATAGACTAGACTATAGACTAGACTATAGACTAGACTATAGACTAGACTATAGACTAGACTATAGACTAGACTATAGACTAGACTATAGACTAGACTATAGACTAGACTATAGACTAGACTATAGACTAGACTATAGACTAGACTATAGACTAGACTATGGACTAGACTATAGACTAGACTATAGACTAGACTATAGACTAGACTATAGACTAGACTATAGACTAGACTATAGACTAGACTATAGACTAGACTATAGACTGGACTACAGGCTAGACTATAGAATATAGTGTACTCTGTCTGTAGTCTAGTCTGTCATCTAGTCTATGATCTTCCACATATTCTAGTCTATGATCTAGCCTATATTCTAGTCTATAGTCTAGCCTAAATTCTAGTCTATAGTCTAGTCTATATTCTAATACTAAAGTACAGACATTTTCATGCCTATCCCGAAGTATACATGAGCTACAAGTACAAGTAGTTCGGGACTATAAACTGGGGCAATCACTGATTTCAAATTCCGGTGAAAGGACTATAAACTGGGGCAGTCATTGATTTCAAATTCCGGTGAAAGGAATGTTCTATTAAAGATCATCACCTGCATACTTAAATAAATATGATGAAAGAAATAGTTAAATGATACGGGTGATTATATGGTACATGAACCATGAACAAGTGAGGATATTAAGCTACAATAACCTTATGCATAATCAAATTTTTATTTTATAAACGTTTTAATTTTGTTAAAGAAAAAAAGGAAGAACTTAATGGTGTTTCTTTTACTTAGCTCTTCAAGTTGTATTTACATTTTTTTCAACTACATAATTCGTTCTTGACCCATTTACCCCTTGTGAACGCACACATTAACACACCTTTGTAAAATATTAATCTTAAACTTTTATTTTTGTCAGATATTACATATATTTTAATGAACTTTACGGCTGAGAGAAATGCAAAAGTATGCCATATCACATATATTTGTATTAAATCAAGCGTTAAATGTTGTTTTTTTCTTCTTTTCACTTGTTGTATTCTTTATTTTTACTTTTCTTAAGGTCTTCTCAGGTCGCAAGTGATAATAGCCTAAGTCGACTTAAGTTAGAGCGAATTGTTATTCTACATGTTACTTTATTTCTCTGAAGAAGTATAGTTTTACAAAATGATATATCTTTAAAGCGCGATTTTCAACATAGGCTATTATGGCTAATGAGCACAGATATCGTTTGTATCTTACTTAAGTTTTCTGCACCAGAAAAAGAAAATCAATATATTTATATATTTTTCTTGCCTTTACACGTACTGGCACACATATAAATACTTACCGAAAAACTGAACGGGAAATATTTTCACCAGTAAATAAGCGATTCCAAAGTTCAATCTACAATAAAAACCAAACAAATAAATGAAAGAAATCAACATAAACAACACAACAACAGGCACTGAAGGTATGGTTGGTTGGTTGGTTTGGCAAAAGATGAAAAATAAAAATAAAAATAAACAAAATATTAATCAAATAAATTAAATTACATATACATACATGCATTTATTTAAATTTCACATGCATATCTGTATAAAAATAAACGTTTACTTTCACTTTTATAGCGATTTGTATGTATGTATGTGTTTTTATAAATAAATATTTCAGTTTAATTAAAGATTAAAGGAGTAAAAGAAAAGTTCAATTTGTATATGATGATAAAATATTGATAATTTTTGAGTAATAAAAAAAAATTTATATTTAAATGTTTTTACTTTAAGTTCATAAAGTAATGAGAGGGTGGTTAATGAAGAATAATATATTTATAGGGTAATCACTGGCTTAACCCACAAATGGCCAAAATGAAAGTTTAATGAAAATGATTATTAACATATTTGACTATTGATATACAGATATATTATTTAGTCATGTACAAAGCCTAGATTTTTGATAACATATCACCAAATTTTTTTTTTAGCAAATTGTCGCATTATTGTTGTCTTGTGCAGGCCTTAATTAAAATGTTTATTTTATGAAAATACTAATATCCTATTTAATTTTATGTTCTCATTTTAGGTAAGTAAGATGACTTCTAAATTTAATGAAAGGTATGGAATATCTCACTAAAAGCTGTAATCATAATATTTTGTATGAACATGTTGCATAGCACTATTACCACTTGTAGAATAGCCTAAATGTCTTAGCTCTGTCTCACAATGAGAAGCACTTTGACTATTTTGGTCCCTGATAGAAATTCGTACGCATTATTACTCGGCACTATATGATTAGACGTATGTTGGGTCATATGGCCTATCCAAGTAGAAGTTGTTAAAATTAGAGGGGTAAAAAGCAAAGTCAATGTTAATTTGCATGCACTGATCTATAGATTTAATATTATAAATCACTTAAAATCCCGGGCAACGCCGGGTACAAAAAGCTAGTCTAATATATAATGGTAACCCCAAAAAATTTTCGGATGCCAAAATATATTTTTAGCGAAGGCGGTATTGAATACACGTTAGACAATGAAAAGGCCAGCACTCATATAAATTCTCATATAAATCGAACAATCGAAAAGTCGAATACTCGACTATCGTCTACGAAAAAAGTCGAAAAGTCGACTTTGTAAATAAAAGTCGATAAGTCGAAAAAAGTCAAAAAAAGTCAAAAAGCCTTAAAAAGTCGAAAAGTCGAAAACTCGAAAATAGTAGAAAAAAGTCAAAATTAGTCGAAAATTTAAAAAAAAGTGTAAAAAAAGTCAAAAACTCGAAAAAAGTCAAAAAGTCGGAAAAAGTCGAAAAGTCGGAAAAAGTCGAAAAGTCGGAAAAAATCGAAATAAGTCGGAAAAAGTCGAAAAGTCAAGTATTTATAAAATACTAAAAGTCAAAAAGTCTTAAAGTCGACTTTTCATAACATGAAGAAAGTCGAAAAATCGACTTTTCATAAAATGCAAAAAGTCGAAAAGTCGACTTTTAACTAAATGCAAAAAGTCGACTTTTCGTTTCAACTATAGAACCCTAACGGTTAGTACTATTGTTAACTAAGTAACTACAAAACTCTTAAATTAAACGTTCTAAGCTTTCTTCTGATATATATCCCACTCGCATCCCATTATGGGACTAAAAGCCCTTAAAGGAAATTGTATAAGCTTTCTTTTGAGCAAAAAAAAAAAAAAAAAACAAAAAATAAAAGAATGAAACAATGAAGAAATATCTATCTGAACTTCTTTGGACAATTTTGCTAGGACCAATAGGTGAAAAATGACACTCATTTGAATAAAACCCTGTATGACCAAAATATCCAACTTTGACCCCCTCTAAGTCGGGCAGTTGTATCTGGCCTACTATTCAATAAAATTAATCTTGGTGCCAATTTCATCCAAATCGATTAATGAATTGACATGAAAATGGCCATATTTATTTTTGACCCTATACCCTAAGCCCCATTCTACAAAGAAAAATAATTTCTGAAAAGTTATTTCGATAAAATTTTATATCTTTAGAGAGGAGTTGTTTTCGATTTTAAGCTTTGACTATCAACCTATCTGAGCGGGTTCAATGACCCCAAAAAGAGATCACTCCAAAAATGTTAACAATTTGTTTATTTTTCCATAGTAAATATTATGAATCGAACATGACATTTTCTCAAAACATTTTCATTCGGAATAAGAAAAGTTTATACATAGTATGAAATTGTACAATACTGGAAAATAGCTAAAAATCCAAATTTAAAAAACCAAAAGTTTTCATAAATGTTGACAAGCTTGACCCACACCTCTTTACTTCTTGCAGAATGAATTTGAATTCAAATGTTCTATATTAAACAAATGTTGCTTTATTCAAACCAAGTCCATAAGTAATAAAGTACATACGCTAATGAAAAAATAAATGCATACAGCAAGCAAAAGTAAATTATTAATAAACAAAACATATTAATAAAACTCGAGCAGAAAAGAACAATAAGTACATGATTGTTTCATAAAATGAACGTTAAAATATGTGAAAAAACATACATCATATAAAATGCAAAATACAAGTAGTGAAAAGAACAATTTGATTGCCACAACCACAATTGGATTCCCACAAAATTGTACATTTACAATATGTATAAGTGAATTTGTTTATTTGCATTCATTCTTATCACTGTAGTACAATTCAATTGAGTTGTAGCAAATGAATTGTTCAGCTGATTCAATTGAAATTCAAGGCAATTATGGCAACTGAATTATTCTGGCAAAGTGTATATTGACACTCGAATACATACACTCAATCAACTACTTTTTACACCAGATACATACAAACATTCTACATATTTTATTTATATGAATTCTGTATTTTTGGTTTTCTTTATCTGTTTTTTTTTTTTTTTTTTGCTGGTTCTTTGAGGAAAAAGAAATATACCTTGAATCGTAAGATAAGTAAGGACTTTCATAGTTACACCTTTCAGTGTCAATTTAAAACATGGTAAAGTTGTTGTTGTTGATAATGATGATGATAATGATGACGACACAAAAAGAAATGCAAATCAAACATGTAAGAAGCAAAATGAAAGAGAAAAGTAAAATAAGAAATTATAAAAAAATGTTGAATATAAAAATGTAATAAGAAAGTAAAATAATAAAACTTGTTTGTAGAGAAATGAAAAAAGTTAAGGTTTATAAAGAAAATAAAATTATGTAGGAAAATATTTTTCTTAACTTTGGAATCTATAACTAGTACTTTAATAAGTTTTCGTACATTTGCCCCATTTTACGTAAGGGATAAATTATATTGAATCTACTAGACTATAGACTACACTATTGACAAGACTATAAACTAGACTATAGGTTAAACTATAGACTAGACTATAGACTAGACTATAGACTAGACTATAGACTAGACTGTAGACTAGACTATAGACTAGACTATAGACTAGACTATAGACTAGACTATAGACTAGACTATAGACTAGACTATAGACTAGACAATAGACTAGACTATAGACTAGACTATAGACTAGACTATAGACTAGACTATAGACTAGACTATAGACTAGACTATAGACTAGACTAGACTATAGACTAGACTATAGACTAGACTATAGACTAGACTATAGACTAGACTATAGACTAGACTATAGACTAGACTATAGACTAGACTATAGACTAGACTATAGACTAGACTATAGACTAGACTATAACTAGACTATAGACTAGACTATAGACTAGACTATAGACTAGACTATAGACTAGACTATAGACTAGACTATAGACTAGACTATAGACTAGACTATAGACTACACTATAGACTACACTATAGACTAGACTATAGACTACACTATAGACTACACTATAGACTACACTATAGACTACACTATAGACTACACTATAGACTACACTATAGACTAGACTATAGACTACACTATAGACTAGACTAGACTAAACTTTATTAGGAAAACTATAGCTTTTAAAAGTAGCAGGTATTTTGTTCATTTCTTTCCTTTAGTCCTTACGTGTTACTTTTATATTTTTATTTAGTTTTCTTTTCCCGTAATATTAATGACTTGGTTTTTACTTCGAAGTAAAAAAGGAAGCTGTTGTGGGTGTAAGGATATTCGAAGAAACATCCGCCCTTTTGAAATACGGACTGACTACAGGGCTAGTGGCTGCATTCTACCCAAGAATATAGCCCAAACAAGCAAATAACAACTATTTTTATAAGGATATTAATTTTTTTCTTTTGCTGTTTTTTTTCCCCCGCTTCTCATTGCAAGAGAGCGAAAATGAAAAGGCCAAAAGAATTAATGAAAATTCATAAAAAAATTGAAATAAATAAATGAAAAACTCACTAAATGTTGAAATGTTCGCAGGGGTGGGGAAGGAAGTAAATGAGCAGAAGTTTATGAATTACGACAGTAGATGCAAATGAATGAGAAAAATACGTTGAAAAATAAGTTAAAAATTATTATAAATATAAGAAAAAAATTACCCTAAAGTAGTGCCGGTAATAAGCTCAGCTTGTGCACTTAATGTTTCCGCTATGAATTCATCATTATAAGCATCCTTAGGACGATACCAACGACGACCACCGGGTAATACTAAAGGACGATCCGATGCTGGTGTTAACGGACCAAAAGCACGTTTCGAACGTTTTGGATTGCTTTTACGCTCCAAATGCTCTTCAAGCTCCTCAATGACATCGTATTTCTGTTTTACAACAATATATTTGTGTGACAAAATGAATAACTTGTTTTTCTTGGCTTTTTTTTATTTTTATTTTTTGTTTTGTTTTAATATTTTTTGGGTGGTGGTTTTGGTTTTTCTCTTTTAATATCAATTTTTTGCACAAACAAAATTTTGTTTATTATTGTCGTTTATGTATTTTTATGTGAAAATGTTGTTAAGGTCACAGTACAGGCAATATGTTTAATGGTCAATGGGTAAATATTCTATAATTGTGAACACTGACTTTTTAAATTAAAATTTCGCCGTTAGAAACATATTGTGTTAATGTAAACTGTTAGAAAGAAGTTAAAGAAAAATAAAATACCTTTAATAATTATTACAGTCTAATGATCTTAAATAATTTGCCCTTTTTAATAAGCATCCTTTTGTAAAAAAAATTTGGAAAATTTCAATATAATGGGTATTAACTTTCCTTTTTCCTATGTCTGTATTTAGCTTATAAGTCCAAGTTATAAACTGTCAATATCGTCATCATAAAGGTCTAGCCAAAATGTGCCATTTATATTAATAAGGGTACATTAGTAATTATTTAGTCACTTTTTATCATTAAATTTTATTTCGATATTCTCTTAAAAGAACTAATGAAAAAAATATACATATACTATATACTAGACTATAGACGAGATTGTAGACTATAATATAGACTAGACTATATTATAAACTAGACTGAACTATAGACTATACTATACACTTGAACATAGACTAGACTAGGCTAGACTAATAGACTAGACTAGACTATAGACTAGACTATAGACTAGACTATAGACTAGACTATAGACTAGACTATAGACTAGACTATAGACTAGACTATAGACTAGACTATAGACTAGACTATAGACTAGACTATAGACTAGACTATAGAGTAGACTATAGACTAGACTATAGACTAGACTATAGACTAGACTATAGACTAGACTATAGACTAGACTATAGACTAGACTATAGACTAGACTAAAGAGTAGACTATAGACTAGACTATAGACTAGACTATAGACTAGACTATAGACTAGACTATAGACTAGACTATAGACTAGACTATAGACTAGACTATAGACTAGACTATAGACTAGACTATAGACTAGACTATAGACTAGACTATAGACTAGACTATAGACTAGACTTTAGACTAGACTATAGACTAGACTATAGACTAGACTATAGACTAGACTATAGACTAGACTATAGACTAGACTATAGACTAGACTATAGACTAGACTATAGACTAGACTATAGACTAGACTATAGACTAGACTATAGACTAGACTATAGACTAGACTATAGACTAGACTATAGACTAGACTATAGACTATACTATAGACTAGACTATAGACTAGACTATAGACTAGACTATAGACTAGACTATAGACTAGACTATAGACTAGACTATAGACTAGACTATAGACTAGACTATAGACTAGACTATAGACTAGACTATAGACTAGACTATAGACTAGACTATAGACTAGACTATAGACTAGACTATAGACTAGACTATAGACTAGACTATAGACTAGACTATAGACTAGACTATAGACTAGACTATAGACATAGACTAGACTATAGACTATAGACTAGACTATAGACTAGACTATAGACTAGACTATAGACTAGACTATAGACTAGACTATAGACTAGACTATAGACTAGACTATAGACTAGACTATAGACTAGACTATAGACTAGACTATAGACTAGACTATAGACTAGACTATAGACTAGGCTATAGACTAGACTATAGACTAGACTATAGACTAGACTATAGACTAGACTATAGACTAGACTATAGACTAGACTATAGACTAGACTATAGACTAGACTATAGACTAGACTATAGACTAGACTATAGACTAGACTATAGACTAGACTATAGACTAGACTATAGACTAGACTATAGACTAGACTATAGACTAGACTATAGACTAGACTATAGACTAGACTATAGACTAGCTATAGACTAGACTATAGACTAGACTATAGACTAGACTATAGACTAGACTATAGACTAGACTATAGACTAGACTATAGACTAGACTATAGACTAGACTATAGACTAGACTATAGACTAGACTATAGACTAGACTATAGACTAGACTATAGACTAGACTATAGACTAGACTATAGACTAGACTATAGACTAGACTATAGACTAGACTATAGAGACTATAGACTAGACTATAGACTAGACTATAGACTAGACTATAGACTAGACTATACTAGACTATAGACTAGACTATAGACTAGACTATAGACTAGACTATAGACTAGACTATAGACTAGACTATAGACTAGACTATAGACTAGACTATAGACTAGTCTATAGACTAGACTATAGACTAGACTATAGACTAGACTATAGACTAGACTATAGACTAGACTATAGACTAGACTATAGACTAGACTATAGACTAGACTATAGACTAGACTATAGACTAGACTATAGACTAGACTATAGACTAGATAGACTAGACTATAGACTAGACTATAGACTAGACTATAGACTAGACTAAGCTATATTCCTTTTTTTTAAATTTTCCAAATGATTTATTGTAAGTTTATTAAGGAAAAATAAACCTTTCTGCTTAACCTAATACCTATTGTACTCAAACACATTGCCCACACTGTTCTCTTTAAAAAAATAAAATCTATAAAAAATAAAATTTATTTTCTACTATGATTTGTGATGATGGCTTTTGAGTATGATTTTGTGTTTATGTTTTTTATTGTTTAATTTTATATTTTGTTGATATTAAAAAATCTTAAATAAACATAAAAAAGTTTATATAATAGCACAAAAATTGTAATTATATATTGCAGTAACAAACATTTTAATTTCGAAACATTAAATCTTTTTTTATTATAATATTTTTTAATATATTTTTTCTTTTTTTGTTTTAGCTAAATATTTTTTTTTTTTTTTTTTCGATTTTATTATTGAGGTTATTAAAGCAGCTTCTTTGAATACAATTTTATTTTTATAATTCAAAGTGTACTGTGAGACGCTGTAAAAAAGTAAATTCTTGAATTTGGACTTTAAAATACTTTTTATTAAGCTATTAATGGTTTAAAATTAAAGAAAAATATTGTTTTTATTATTATGTATTTTTTCTTGGGATAATAATGTTTTAGTAGAGAGCAGTACAAATTTAAACACAACTGTTAGAGGTGGATATACATTTAAATACTGTAGGCAAAAATATTAATTAAAATTAAAATTGTTAAATAATATATTATTAAGTCAAGAAATTAATTGACAACGTTTTTGGCAGGTGGTTGCTGTTAAGCAAATAAATCTTAATTTAAAGTAGATTAGGCGTTTTACGGCTGTTTTTTTAATTTTCTAACTTTTCTGTGAAAATAATTTATTTGTACATATTTATTTACAACAAAATTAAAATTTTCAATCTATATTAAGTAATTTGTTTATTTTGTTGCTCTTCTTTCCGTTTTTTAATATATCAGATTTCATGTTTTTAAAAAGAGGAAGTAAAACGGAAACTTTCAACGTGATTTCCGGTCTATAAAAATAAGCTTAATAAATATGGAAAAATTTCGAAAAATTATATGGACATTAATAAACAAAGACCTTTATTCTTATATGTGTATACCATTAAATTTAAACAGATTTAAACAAAGATATTCAGTCATATTATTTTATTTATATAAAAGGAAATTCGCTGTAATAATATTTGTCATTTAATACCACAAACTACTCACAAAATTTTGTTTTAAATATTATTTAAATTTATACTTTTTTATGTTTGAAAAGCAATTATTTGCAGGCTTTAAAAATGAAAAAAAAAAAAATTACAAATATTTCCCACCCTTTAGAAAATAACATTTCCAGTTAGTTACCCTTTGACAGCTTTTACAACAAGCCTGTAATTTTTCGAAATATTTTTTCTTTCAACGAAAAAAAAAAAATAACACTCAGTAATAATTGCCTCTTAATTAAAATAATTAAATTTTTTTTATTGAAATATTTCTATGTAGGGGGTGTAACATAGAGCAATATTTTTCACATTACCTTGATGTAATGTTATAAAAAGTTGTTGCGTCGGTATTTTAAAGTGTTGTAAATCTGACTCTTAATTTACAGTTATTTAGAAGTCTTTGCTGGAGGGTTGGCTAATTAATGTTTTTTAATAAGTGTCAATTTAATGCCAGCTGTGACATTTTTTTTTTGTATTTTCAATATTTGACATTATTTTAGGGCAAATATTTGAAATATTTAAGCGGAAATAGAAGAAAAAAGAAAGTCAATTGAAGTCATTAACATTAATTAGATTTGCTAAAGAGATTTATATGACAGTGGGTCACTTTTATGTGGAGATTAAATAAATAAGGGTCAGATTGAAAGTCAAAACTTTCTATGAAAACTTTGAATTTTGTATGTTGGTATGTATGTTAATATAGATTTTACAGTTTTGTGATAACATTTTTAGCTTATCTCCTTAGTTCAAGTTATATTTCGATCAATGTGCGAGAGAAGTGATGATCGTCCATTCAAGTTAGAAAAGTTTGGTGACCAGGCATTTGAGGTATTACTGGATCAATATTGTTATCAAACTCAACAAGAACTTGCCACTTGAGGTCTCTTGAACATTTCTAATGAATTTGTTTAACTTTTCGAAGAATATCGCAGGATAATATCTTTATGGCCAATACCTTTTAGACAGATGTGGTTAGGATATTTTGACTCACCCGTCATATAGTCCAGATTATTCCCTGTCCGACAACAAAAAGTTAAAACCTGTAACGCCTCTTGTGCGCCTCTTTTACCATTGCCTCAGGTGGGAATCGAACCAACGACCTCTGGTCATGTACTTTGTTTAAAAAAGTTTTCATTGCCACTTATAGGATCACTTTTTCTATCACAAATCCTCTAAAAATCGATAGTAAATTAGACCTGTTTAAATCGTTTGTGTATGGATATTAAAATATCGAGCACCATCTATTGTTTTATAAACCCTTTTAAGAAAGTAAGAGTTCTATATTCGGCTGTGCCGAATCTTATATACCCTTCACCATAGTGTGTTAAACAAAAACATTCCCTTTTATATGTTCTCGCTTACTCCGGAATCTACATGCTTAATTTCATGTTTCTAGGTTCAATATTATAGAAAATTCCAAAAGTACCTTTAGAATAACGAAAAAGCACCAAAAATTCCCTTTTATAGGTTATCATCTACTCCGGGCCCTACATGCTTATTACAGAAAATTCAAAAAGTACCAAAACATCCCCTTTTATAGGTTCTCACTTATTTCGGGCCCTACATGCTTAATTTCATGTTTCTAGGTTCAATATTATAGAAAATTGAAGAATGAAAAAGTACAAAATATCCCTTTTATAGGTTTTATATTCTTAATTTCATATTTCTAAGTTCAATACTATAGAAAAATCAAAAAGTACCTTTTGAAGAACCAAAAAGTACCAAAATATCCCCTTTTATATGTCCTCACTTACTCCGGGCCCTACATTCTTTATTTCATGTTTCTAGGTTCAATATTATAAAAAATTCAAAAAGTACCATTTGAAGAACGAACAAGTACTAAAATTTCTCCCTACATTCTTAATTTCATATTTTTAGGTTTTATATTAAAGAAAATTCAAAAAGTACCTTTTGAAGAACGAAAAAGTACAAATTGTACACTTTTTGTTATCACTTAATCCGTGCCCTACATTCTTAATTTCTTGTTTCTCAATTTTTGATGAAATTTTCAGAGGTTGTCTCAGATTTTTGCCCATATCTTCATTGTTTATGGGACCTATTTTGCTGATTTTCTTTCGGATCTCGCAGATATCTGGGCACTTTTGAAAAATCCGATATCTATAAGGATCCAGAATATATATGCACTTTATAGAATCGGGAAATTATATTATAGAAATTTCAAACGGAATGACAAACTAATATACATATACCCTTCTCACAAAGGTGAAGGGTATAAAAATTATATCGCACAAAAGTTAATAATTGACCGAATATCTTTGCAAAGAGCTTTTAACAATTAAATATTTACTATTTTACTGCTGCACGTGGCTTAAATACTCGCCATTTTGACATAATTTTGAGTGAAACTCTTTAACTAAGTACATAATAACGAAAACAGACTTAAAGTAAAAGTCTATACTAGATACTTGTGTATACTAAACATGTTCATCATGGCCCACACTAAATACACAGTGTTTCTGAAATCTGTTTAATTAATCGCATTAATTGATTTAATCTATCTAAACTTGAATTGTGTGTCAAAAACTTTTGGACGTTGTCTAACCATTGTACATTTTTTTTCGTTGTGTACAATTTATTAATGGGATTAAATACCAACAATTTTTCTTTACACAATAACATCCTGTCAAGGTTAAACAACATGTTTTGTAGCTATTACTGCTACTACCATTGTTGTTGTTAATGTTATTTTTCTTTTTGTTGCCAAATAATTTAAAATTTTTAGGTTACAAATATTACAATTGTAGTTGTTGTTATATTTCGCAAAAAAAGGAAAACAAATAAATGTTTTGTTACTTTACGTTGTTGTTGTTAAATAACTTACCTTTTGTTTTTTTAATTTTTGCTCTTCCTCCATTTGAAGGGTTTCCTCATTGCTGCTTCTTGTGTTGTATTTGGTAGCAGCTTCCTGTTGCTTAATTGGATTCTTGTCAATTGTATCACGCGCTTCATTAGTGTCATTCGCAATTTGTTCGTTAGCTTTATTATCCTGTTTTTGCTCTGGATCTTGGTTGCCAATGCTGCTGCTTACATTATCAACTGATTCATGACATTTTTCAGCTACGTTGTCATTTTCTTTAATATCCTTATTTTCATCATTTCCAGGGTCTGCGAGAAGAAAGCGGCGAGAGAGGGTGAAGAGTGTGTTAGAAATGAGAAAATTTTATTAAAACAGTTAGGCGGGTGGAAGGACAGACGTATAGACGGAAAATAAAAGGAAAGAACAAACGATACAATGAGTAGAAGAGAAATGATTTTAATTCATGGAAAATAATAAAATTGTTTAAGTTCGTTCTTCATTTCTATATTTATTTGAAATAATCATTTTTCTAACCGTCAGTCAGTGTGTGTGTATGTACTATGTGAGTGCTGTGTCTGTGAATATCTCCAAGGTATTGTAAAATTAAATATTGTGATAATAAATCTTAGTTTTTAACTGTATTCACATGTAGTTAGATGATGCGAATAGTGATAAAGGTATATATAAATCAAGGTCGATTATATGACTCCCTACATCAACATATTAAGCACACATATTTTTCTTTAGAGACCGAATATTTCACATTTCATTTTTCTTTTTATAGAAAATTTTGAAAATTTTTCGCTTTTAGAACATTTTTGAAAATGTTAATTTCTGAACATCTTTTCAAAAGAGTTTCTAAATTGTATCCAAAGCAAAACCCTCCCATAAGTATTAATGTAGCGTGCTACTATTACATAAATTATATTATTCTAGCAAATCTTTTCAATTGGAATTGTATTGTGTTGTCTTTTCCATTTCCCTAAAGTGTTTGGCTTAATAAATTGTTCTTAAAATATTTAACACATTCATTGTAACTAAATACCTTCATTCTCTGCATTTTCAGAGATTTTTTCCAAACTTATTTCACGTGCTACACTACCAGAGAGTTTGCGTGGTTGTTCCTGTTGTAATTTAAATGTTGGCAATATATCGGCTAATTGTTTGGTAACTGCATCCAATGTCGATTGTATGGTACTGGGTAAACTAGATAAAGCAGCTAATTGTTTTTGCACATCAGCTAATTGTCGCTCCAAGGCTAATTCTTCTTCAGTTTTTTCAATTACAGCTTCAGATTTGGTTTCCTCTTTTTCTTCGTTTGCATTAGCTGGGGTTGATTCGGAGGTTTCTTCTTCGTTGGTGGCTTTATCAGTTTCTTCGATTTCTTTTGCTTCTGGTATAGTTTCCTTTTCTTTATCTGTTTTTTCGGCTTCTTCTTCTAGTTGTTGGGGCTTTTCGTTGTTATTAGTACTTGTTTCCTCTAAATTGGGTACTTCAGTATCAACAGGTGTTGGAGCTTCTGGCTCTGGTTCAGGTTCTGGTTCAGGCTCTACTACTGGTGGTGGTGTAGGCTCTTTGGGTGGTTTTACCTCTTCCACTGGTTTGGGCTTTAAATGTGAACAAATTAATTGCAATAACAAAAAATTTAAATAAGCCTACTCACTGGTGGTGCTGGTGATACCGAGCGCGATATAGTTGAACCCCTGACAATTTTAACTTTATAAGCATTGGCCGCACGTCTTTCTGCCTCTATTTGCTGCTTACTTTTGGGTATAGGACGATCCGGTTTCTGTAAAAATGTGGTCCATTTACGATTCTCCTTGTCCTTTTCGGCTTTAGTTTTAGTGGCCTCCTCGTTGAGAGTACGCAAGACATCACTGCTCATGCAAACACCAGGTTTAGGAAAAATTCTATAGAAATTAACTCTGACATATAATTGTAACTCCTGCTTAAAAACTATTCACATAACAAGTCTTCTAAATTCAATACAAACCCCATGGTATTGTGTTCCTGCAGAACTTCCGATTCTCCAGATAACACAGCTGCAATTTCTTCTTCCACCAATTTTCTTTCCGTTTCTTCGGACAGCACCGAACAGGGCCTCTCTTCCAAATCAGCCATATAGTCCACTTCACATACCTTAACTTTCTCCTCGTTTGGTGTATCAACAATAACAGGTGGTGTTACACTACCAGCCCTGGCTTCCAGAAATGATTTGGGTGAACTTACACGTTCCGCAACAGGAAAAGCCTTAGGAGTCGTATATTCTTCTTCATTTTCTCTGTGTGGATGTCAAAACAAAATTAGTTATTACATGGCAACAACCAAAATGTTATTGTTTTCGTTTTTACCTTTGTACACCAAAGAAAAATACATTACCACAACCTTTGATAATTTTATTAGTTTCATCGTGGGTTAGTGGAGAGGCCGCGGTGTCATTAATGCGTACAATTACATCGCCTACCATTAAGCCGGCACTTTCGGCAATGCTGCCTTCAGTGACCTTGAAAGGAAGCAAAAGAAAAATTATAAGATTTTCGTCTTGTTTTATAATTCAATTAAAACGTTAAGCTTCAAGAAAGAGAGAGAGAGAGGGAGAGAATAAGTGAACTAACAAAAGATGTGATTATAAAAGGAATACATACATTTAAGACAAAAGGACATACAACAGAATTACATAAACTGAATAATGCTATTTATTTTATGCTAATACTCTTACCTTCGCCTTAAAATTTTTAAAAGGTCTTTAATTTAAATTTTGAAAGCTTACTTTTCATACTTAAGAATGTTATACTTTAAATTGTTTTAAAACTAGAACTGAACTAGAACTGAATTAGAACTGTACTAGAACTGAACTAGAACTGAACTAGAACTGAACTAGAACTGAACTAGAACTGAACTAGAACTGAACTAGAACTGAACTAGAACTGAACTAGAACTGAACTAGAACTGAACTAGAACTGAACTAGAACTGAACTAGAACTGAACTAGAACTGAACTAGAACTGAACTAGAACTGAACTAGAACTGAACTAGAACTGAACTAGAACTGAACTAGAACTGAACTAACTAGAATGAACTAGAACTGAACTAGAACTGAACTAGAACTGAACTAGAACTGAACTAGAACTGAACTAGAACTGAACTAGAACTGAACTAGAACTGAACTAGAACTGAACTAGAACTGAACTAGAACTGAACTAAACTGAACTGAACTAGAACTGAACTAGAACTGAACTAGAACTGAACTAGAACTGAACTAGAACTGAACTAGAACTGAACTAGAACTGAACTAGAACTAAACTAGAACTGAACTAAACTGAACTAGAACTGAACTAGAACTGAACTAGAACTGAACTAGAACTGAACTAGAACTGAACTAGAACTGAACTAGAACTGAACTAGAACTGAACTAGAACTGAACTAGAACTGAACTAGAACTGAACTAGAACTGAACTAGAACTGAACTAGAACTGAACTAGAACTGAACTAGAACTGAACTAGAACTGAACTAGAACTGAACTAGAACTGAACTAGAACTGAACTAGAACTGAACTAGAACTGAACTAGAACTGAACTAGAACTGAACTAGAACTGAACTAGAACTGAACTAGAACTGAACTAGAACTGAACTAGAACTGAACTAGAACTGAACTAGAACTGAACTAGAACTGAACTAGAACTGAACTAGAACTGAACTAGAACTGAACTAGAACTGAACTAGAACTGAACTAGAACTGAACTAGAACTGAACTAGAACTGAACTAGAACTGAACTAGAACTGAACTAGAACTGAACTAGAACTGAACTAGAACTGAACTAGAACTGAACTAGAACTGAACTAGAACTGAACTAGAACTGAACTAGAACTGAACTAGAACTGAACTAGAACTGAACTAGAACTGAACTAGAACTGAACTAGAACTGAACTAGAACTGAACTAGAACTGAACTAGAACTGAACTAGAACTGAACTAGAACTGAACTAGAACTGAACTAGAACTGAACTAGAACTGAACTAGAACTGAACTAGAACTGAACTAGAAGTAAACTAGAACTGAACTAGAGCTGAAAAATAATGTTATCAAAATTGTTCTACATACTAAGTAAATACATACATATATGGAATAACTTTTAATAAGCTATGTTTACCACTGAACCACAAAATATATGCCGAAATCCAAAAAATTTACAAGAAAAAATATTTTCATAATATTTAGCATGGTGTTGAAAACTGCTGTCTATCACATTTGACATTATTACCCAAAGGCAGGCACAATATTGAAAGTGCCAATTTCGTAGCACTTAAAACATTAATTCTCAATAAAATACCAATGAGTATGTAGGTAGGGGCGGAATAGATTTTCGCGGTCTACATTATTTTGATTTTTACTTCATTTTCGATTCTATTATCTACTATGTTTCTCACTAATTCTCATTCTCTCTCCCTGGCACATTTTATCACATTTGTTTTTGTTTATAAAGTACAAAAGTCTGTGTGTATTGACGTTCTAAATGACAATTAAATTAGACGCGTGCTAAATTGCTAAGAATACATTTTGCGGAAAGATAAAAATAAATGAAACGAGAATTTGTAATGTGATTGAGAGTGTGACTTCTGTGTTTTGCTGGTGGTATCGGAAAAATGCATTGAAATTTATATGGCACGAGCAGGCTAAATGTCTGTCTGGCTAGCTGGCTGGCTGTCTGTCTGTCAAGCAGGCATATTATAATCAACATTAAAATCAACTGAAATAAATAGAAACAATAACAACAACCTTCACATAACAGTTTTTTAAACTATTGAACTAGAAAATTGAAATTATACTATTACAACTACAAAACGTATTGTTATTGTTCGTAAATGTTTTCCGAGTATAATAAAGAAAAGGGAAAATTTTTTATTTTGCATTTTTAGTTTTGTGTGTATTTCATTTTTTTATTTTTCGGTTTTCACTCAATTTTTTTATTGTTTTAGATTTTTTTTTTGGGAGTTTAATGTAGTACAAGTAAATTATTTGCGGTGTTTTTTGAGAAATGAATTGAAAAAAGTATACAAATAAAAAAAAAATATAGAAACCCACAAAAGAATAATGACCTTTATAAAGAAGTGTACAAATGTTTTTCTCATTTATTATTTATTTCTTTTACACAATTTTGTGTTTAAGTTTTTTGTTTTTTACTTGGTTTTCCCTTTTTATAGTGTTTTTCATTTCTTATGTCTTCGAAAAAATGTTGGAGACATTCATTGTTTCTATAGAAATACTTATTTCAATGTTTTTAATGGCAAAATAATAAATAGAGTCTTATTTCAAATGTCCTGAATTTGGTTTACTTTTATTTGTTTAAATTTTTATACACAAAATTGATTTTTAATAAAAACATATTTTAAATTGAATTTCAATGTTTAGTGTACAGGAGTGAGTGATAGAAATAAGAGTAAATTGATGAAACTTTTAAACTATAAATATTTTTGCATTAAAAATTAAAATAAAACAAATGTAATTACACGCTGTAGCAGTGAAAACATTTGACCCAGCGCAGTTTGCAGGTCTAGTACTAAGGGTAATTCAGGAGAATTTCAAAAATAACGAAAAAAAGTTTTTTTATATTAATTTTTTAATGAAAAAGGATCTATATTGATTAATCTATCTAGCAAAAAAAACATATCATTAAACATTTTAACCTGATTTTAATTTTTGTGTAGTCTATAGTCTAGTCTAGAGTTTAGTCTATAGTCTAGTCTATAGTTTAGTCTATAGTCTAGTCTAGTCTATAGTCTAGTCTATAGTTTAGTCTATAGTCTAGTCTAGTCTAGTCTAGTCTATAGTCTAGTCTATAGTCTAGTCTATAGTCTAGTCTATAGTCTAGTCTATAGTCTAGTCTATAGTCTAGTCTATAGTCTAGTCTATAGTCTAGTCTATAGTCTAGTCTATAGTCTAGTCTATAGTCTAGTCTATAGTCTAGTCTATAGTCTAGTCTATAGTCTAGTCTATAGTCTAGTCTATAGTCTAGTCTATAGTCTAGTCTATAGTCTAGTCTATAGTCTAGTCTATAGTCTAGTCTATAGTCTAGTCTATAGGCTAGTCTATAGTCTAGTCTATAGTCTAGTCTATAGTCTAGTCTATAGTCTAGTCTATAGTCTAGTCTATAGTCTAGTCTATAGTCTAGTCTATAGTCTAGTCTATAGTCTAGTCTTAGTCTAGTCTATAGTCTAGTCTATAGTCTAGTCTATAGTCTAGTCTATAGTCTAGTCTATAGTCTAGTCTATAGTCTAGTCTATAGTCTAGTCTATAGTCTAGTCTATATTCTAGTCTATAGTCTAGTCTATAGTCTAGTCTATAGTCTAGTCTATATCTAGTCTATAGTCTAGTCTATAGTCTAGTCTATAGTCTAGTCTATAGGTCTAGTCTATAGTCTAGTCTATAGTCTAGTCTATAGTCTAGTCTATAGTCTAGTCTATAGTCTAGTCTATAGTCTAGTCTATAGTCTAGTCTATAGTCTAGTCTAGTCTAAGTCTAGTCTATAGTCTAGTCTATAGTTAGTCTATAGTCTAGTCTATAGTCTAGTCTATAGTCTAGTCTATAGTCTAGTCTATATAGTCTAGTCTATAGTCTAGTCTATAGTCTAGTCTATAGTCTAGTCTATAGTCTAGTCTATAGTCTAGTCTATCTAGTCTATGTCTAGTCTATAGTCTAGTCTATAGTCTAGTCTATAGTCTAGTCTATAGTCTAGTCTATAGTCTAGTCTATAGTCTAGTCTATAGTCTAGTCTATGTCTAGTCTATAGTCTAGTCTAGTCTAGTCTCTAGTCTAGTCTATAGTCTAGTATAGTCTAGTCTATAGTCTAGTCTATTAGTCTATAGTCTAGTCTATAGTATAGTCTAGTCTATAGTCTAGTCTATAGTCTAGTCTATAGTATAGTCTAGTCTATAGTCTAGTCTATAGTATAGTCTAGTCTATAGTCTAGTCTATAGTATAGTCTAGTCTATAGTATAGTCTATAGTCTAGTCTATAGTCTATAGTATAGTCTATAGTCTAGTCTATAGTATAGTCTAGTCTATAGTCTAGTCTATAGTATAGTCTAGTCTATAGTCTAGTCTATAGTCTAGTCTATAGTCTAGTCTATAGTCTAGTCTAGTCTATAGTCTAGTCTAGTCTATAGTCTAGTCTATAGTCTAGTCTAGTCTATAGTCTATAGTCTAGTCTATAGTCTAGTCTATAGTCTAGTCTATAGTCTAGTCTATAGTCTAGTCTATAGTCTAGTCTATAGTCTAGTCTATAGTCTAGTCTATAGTCTAGTCTATAGTCTAGTCTATAGTCTAGTCTATAGTCTAGTCTATATTCTAGTCTATAGTCTAGTCTATGGAATAGTCTTTAATTTAGTCTATAGTTTGTATGTAGTCTTTAATAGTCCAGTGAATTATCTAGACTAGTCTATATTCGAGACAGTAGTGAAGTAGAATAAATATACTTGATTTCTCCGCAATTCCATAACAAAAAGAAAATTATTTCAAAATTGCATTTATTATTGACATCTTAACGTTTATATGCCACAATATGTACCACAAACTCATGCAATATGCGCTGACATGCACAGTTTTTATGTAGTTATAAGGTTTTATGATTTCAAATTGAATTACATTTATGAAGGCAATTTTGAAGTTGATTTGAATTTAGATATATTTATTCCTTTATTACTACTGCATTAAATGGAGATTTTTTACATCAACTATATAAATATGGCTGTAATTTTTTGATTTCGCCTCAACCAGGGAGTGAGCAATTCGTCATGTACAAATGTATGTGGTGTAATCTTAAATATATGTAAAAGGAAGAGATCATGAGATCGAATACTTTGCCGATAATTGAGTTTGCTGTTTTCCGATATTACCGAAGAACTATAATTTTCGGTGGAATTTCAAATATATTTACAACTTTATTTCATGTAAATAAATATTATTTTTCAAACAAAAATTATCTTAAAAAAAGAATTTGTTAAAAAGATTTATATTTGCAATTTCTACAATCTTTTGAGGTTATACACGTATTCACATTGTACCTTTTAAATTCAACAAACAAATGCAATTCGTTTGCTGTTACAGTTTCTTTTTTTTTTTTTGTATTTTGCTCTTAACGAACTCAAACACCTTGAGCACTTCAAAAGATGAAAATGAAAAGTACAAAAAAAGAAGGTGAAGAAATCATATAACATTTCCGCATTACACAAAAATACCATATTGTAAATAAAAACAGTAACAAAAATATATATTTTTATATGTACAAATATTATTATTCCTCTTATATTTTACACAATCCATCTCTCAATTACGTAACAACATTGAAAATGCATTAGATGCAATTTTATTCATTCATTTTATACTCGTATAGATTTTATTTTTATTACGATATTTTTTTTTTACTTTTATCACTTCAGCAGGAACAAAATACAATACAATAAAAAAAAAACTTCAAAAGTGGGTGGAAAGTTGCAGGGATTTTGAGTAGGAACACACACAAATTGATAAATTGTTATAAAAGTAATATATATATATTACTTTTTATATGTATGTATGTACTAAACACTTTGCTTTGTTATAATATAAATTCTAACCTTAACCACCGTTAATGGAAATTCAAAATCCGAACCACCGACCAAGCGAAAGCCCCAAGGGACATTTTCAAAACGACACATTTTAATATCAATCACCATTTTGATCGATTGATTTTCTATAAATTTTTATTTTTATTATTATCTGTTTGCTTTTAATTCACTCTGAAATAATTGTTAGAAAGATTTTTATTATTTATTTCAATTTATATTCTTTTAAGTTTTTTTTTCAGTTCAAAACGTAATCCGTATTATCAGAGAGAAATTAGTTTTCTATTTTAAATTGAAAAATACCGTAATGACCGCAGTGAATGAAAATTCACACAAAATTCTTCTAATGTAACCAAGCGAATGATTTGAATAATTGACATATACTTTCTATGGCCGTTTTTATGCAGCTAGAGAACAATATATCGCTTTTAATTAATTGAATTTTTTTCAGTTTTTTTTTTTTTGTTCTGTAGTCTCGATATACGTTTAGGTTGATTTCGGCCAAAGACATTTCATTGTTACTTTAATCGATTATTTTTTGTGGATGTGAGTGATAGTGTTGGTCACTTTTATATGCCAAATTGTGGTTAAGTGTATGAATTAGTATTTTTTTCTGGCGAATAATTGCAAAACTGTTTGATATTTAGTTGGCTGGATGGTTTTTATGAATACAGGATGGGGTATTTATTGAGTAAATTAATGCTGAATACAAAGTGCATATCGCTTATTTACTACAAGACCGGCATAAATCAAAACATTTCGTTGTTACAAATTTTTTTAAATAATTGTAGTCGCCGGAGACTGTGTTCTTTTCTAAAGTCGATACTAAGCCTCTTCTAGACTTCTGTTCTAGACTATCACCTAGTCAACATCCGGTACTGTAGTTAAGTCTGTAGTCGAAACTGTAGTCAAGCGATGTTAGAAACTATAATCTAGTCAAAACAATACAATAGTTGTGAGTATGTATAGTTTAGCCTGTAGTCGAGACAAGGCTATAGTCTAGTGTATAGTTGATAGTACTTATAGTTAAGCTCATGGTAGAGATTACAATATTGGCTATAGACAATAAAATAGTCCAGTGTAAGCTCTAGTCTATACTTCAGATTAGCATGATGTCAATCTTAGTCGAGACTGTAGAATTAAAGGAATTCTATTGGTGCCTCCCAAGCCAGTGTAACCTCTAAGCTTTAATGCGTTTTACTACATTAATATCCGCATAGAGTTCATAGAGCTCATGATTCATCCTAATTCGAAAGATATCATCGACACGTATTGGGTCATATATATTACGGAGAATTTTTCTTTCGAATACTGCCAGCGCGACTTTTTCATTGTCCACATTTCAGCGACGTACATAAGCACAGGGAAAGGAGGACTTTGCTCCTTAGTTGGTTGTTACTAATTATATTTTGTCTTGTCCTCGTTGACCTTTAGGCCCATGTCCCCGTCCTTGGTATGATTTGACATGGGGTCTAACAAGAGAACCACATAATCTGGTACTACGGGTTGGTTGAGATTCCTTCCGGATCCATGTCACAGTGTCACTGTGAATAAGTCTCGGCTTATTTGATGGATTCGTACTTCGGTCTACCGGTTACGTCTCTAGGTCTTGTTGCCGACTCAACAGAGACCATCCCATCTGCGTGGTTGTAAACGGAAATGACGTTTTCCATCTCGGAAGTTAAGGAACGGGGCAACAATGGTCAGATATTTGAAAGCCCAATGACTTGAACAAAAAGAACGTATACTTTACCCGAACCATATACGTAAATTGCCACCTGCGTGTAACAAACACAATGGGGCGGTGGTGAGTCGTCACAATAGCTCAGGCAGTAGTTGAAAAAGACCACCATGAAATAGGCCAACATGGCAGGTGTTCAGGTTAAGCACTCGATATTTCAGCCTCTTCAGTTTATCAAATGCACCACTTGTGTTTGCGGCCAATGATGTCAATATCGTCAGCATGATGTCAGTGGTCCTACTTAAATTTCGTTTCCTGAAAGATTTTCTCCATTATCAGATTGAAGAAATCACATGATAGGGCATCACCTTGTCTAAAATCAGGATCAGTATGAAACACACTCTTTTGGTAGTCTTCCGCATCATAATGCAAAGCCGTACGATCTTTATGAGAATACCAAGTTCAGACATAGCAACGTAGAATTATTGCTATATTATTAACGGACTTATTCCCAATCTTATAGTCAACAAAAAGGTGGTGGGTGTCGATTTGCTTTGCAATTGTCTTCTCTAGGAGTCCTTTCTCGAATATAATCTTTAATTTTCCCAAATAATGCTGAAAATCTAAAACTATTAAATTTTATAACCACTAAATGTATAAAACTACTTTTAGATACACAAAATATTTAATAACCTAAAATTAACCCTATTAATCTTTATAAAAATGTTTTTAAAACGATAACATTTTATTACCCCAAAAATCTCAGCTAACCCTTAATTGTTTGTTTTATTTCTAAACTAATAAACTAAAATAATCTGCTTTACCATGCAGCAATAGTAAATTCGTAAATAAAATTCAAGTTTTTATTTACGCAAACAAAAATTTGCTTAATTTACAAATAGCCTTAATAGTTGTCATTAAGTAACATTTATTACTTATAATTTTATTTTAAACCATTTTCAAAAATATTACTGTACTTAGTACTACTATCTTTTGTATAAAAACAAGTACATATGTACTTGGAAAATAAAACTATACATAAATTGTATATGGAAAACAAACAATTTTTAAATTATAAAGCCCATTATATGTAAAGAAATATTTACATATTTATATGTATGTGTTTTGTTGGTCGAAATGTTAGAATGTATTTTAATATCCTACAGTATAAGGATAGAATAAAAACTTAAACAAATAAAAAAATTTTGTTATAAAGGGTTAAGTTTAAATACATATTTTTCATTCTAACTAAGTAGTAGAAATAACTTCTGTTTTGGACAACTATCAAACCAACTATAACTGTTTCATTGCTGCTAGATACTTTTAGAAATATAATGTACTACAAACATGATTATTAAGTTAAATAATTTTTTGTATAAATGTAAAAAATTGTGCTTGTATACAAATTACTGCCAAAATTTTAATGTAAAATAAGGTGATTCAATTGTCCTTGAAAATAATTTTTAGTTCACAGGACTGATTTATATCACAACTATTAACAACGTAAGTGGTAAAAGTTGCCATCAGAGAAGTATATATTGATCAACAGTTTTAACATTATATAGTAAAGACTAGTATCTTTATTTAATGTGAAATCAAATTGATGTTATATTTAGCTTTTCTAGACAAATATTTAATTTTATGTTTGCTGGGTATTTTAGTCTATATGTATGTATATGTAACAGAACACATGAATAATCACATAGAGACTTTTAAAACAATTTTACTAGATTTTATAGTCTAAGTTTAGGCATCTATTATAATAAAGTATTATTTACAATAGAAACAGTAATTTACTAACATTTTACAAAACTTTACAAATTGTTTTCGAAAAAAAAAAAAAAAAAACTGAAAAACTTAAATATTAAACTATTTTAATGTTGAAGTCTATTTAAATTGTTGATGGGATTAGTAATGCACTAAAAAAAAATATTGTAAAGAAAAATACAAGTTTGAAGTTTACTAAGATATTGAACAAGTTTTTTTTAATACAATGAATTTGAAAAACATATTAATGACAATTAAATTTTTAAATCAAAGAGTTTTTTAGTAGTTTTTTTCAGTGTACTTATAAAATTTATTGTTAGCTACAACTTTATGACACTTCAAAATATTTTTATTCTAAATCATTTTGGAAACTATTTAATAGAGCTCTAAAATTAAAAATAAATAAAAATAAAATGCTAAGCATTTGATTAGTCGTTGAAAGCTTTGGTCAAATAAAAGTCTTAATTATGACACAATGGTTAAAAACATAATCACATTCTGACAGTTGACAAAACCACTATTTTTGGTATGCTAACGCATTTTTAAAAGAAATGGGTTGCTTTTATTTTAAGTCAAATGGAACCCATTATAAATATAAAATTGATGAAAGAAACGTAATTATTAAGTTACTTGGTGATGAGAAGATTTAATTGTTTATTTTTGGTTTGGACTTTTATAATTTGGAAAATATTTGAGAAATTAAAGAAGACTTTAATGGAGGCTTTACTCTATACAATAGACTATTCCATAGACTAGACATAGTACACTAGTCTAGCCCAAACACAAGACAATAGACTAGTCTATAGACTAGCCAATGGGCTAATCCATAGATATGTCTATGGATTGGATAAGAGATTAGTCTATGGACTAGTCAATAGACTAGACAAAAAACTACTCAATGGACTACTGAATAGATTATTCCATGAAATAGTTAATATATTATTCCATAGTGTAGTCAATAGACTTGTCGATAGACAATAGACTAGTCTATAGACTTTAGACGTTTAGTACACAGACTTTTCAATACAAAAGTCCATAGACTGGTCAATAGGCAAGTCAATAGACTAGTTAAAAAATACCCCATAGACACTTGTGCATATAATTGTTAATAAATTTGCCCTGAGATTAGTCTATAGACTAGTCAATAAAGTAATCTATGAACTAGTCAATTGACAAATCCATAGAAAAGTCAATAGACTGGACAATATACTAGTCCAAAGACAAGTCTATATATTGTACAATAAACTAGACAATAGACCATTCCATAGTCTAGTAAATAGACTATTCCATAGACTTAGCGATAGTCTGATCAATAGACTAGTGCATAGACTAGTACTTAGATTAGTACACCCATAGCCCATAGACTAATCAAAATACTGGTCCACTGACTTGTCAGTAGGCCAATTTACAGAATTGCTTGCGAACTAACTAATAGAAAAAAACCCTACACCAGTGATTATGTTAAAAATTTTGATTTTTTTTAATAATATAGTATTTCATTTCATTTTTACCTTTATTTAGAAATATTGTAATAATTTGTTGAAAAAAGGGATTTTCTAAAAGGAGGATTATATGGGAAGCAGGGGGTTAATATGGTCATATTCTTATAAATTTTGGTAGAGGGATGTACGTCCACATCAGATATTTATGCAGAATATCATCGTTATATTAGTGTTAATAAGTGGATTTTGATCATCAAGTCATTTTCTGAAGGAGGCTTTTGTAAGGGTCAAATGAGTCCCGAAGAAAATCAGCAGTATCAATAAGACTTATATAAAACTAAGTTTTTCATATTTTTGAAGTGATACAAGATCGTTTAACATATTAATGAGCTCCTAAGCCTTATTCAGGGTGTACGGTTGTATAGGGGGCTATACGAAATAATGAACCGATTTTAACCATAGGCTTCGTTCTTCAGCCAAAAAAAGAT